TCCTTGGAGGTCGGGGGTTAACTCATCACTTGTGGCAAGTTTAGCCCATGACTGCCCAACAGCTTTTTCAAGCTTGTCTATGGTGATGATCTCCTGTAGCTTCTTCAGCGAGTCGATCAGAGCCAATCCTGTTGGTAGCTGGGCAAGCCGGGGTAGACATTGCTCAACTGTGTATCCTGTCGATGCTTGCACTGACTTGGAGAACACCAGCGCTTGCCCTGCCACAAAAGCCGATTCTCGAATGAGAACATTGCTCGTGATTCCTAGTCCTCCTTCACGCATGGGTAGGTGCACCTGCGCCCGAGCTGTCCCTTTGAAAAAACCTACCTCCTCGCTCTTCGGCGGGTCTGCGCGTACTTCTTTGACTGTTGGTATTCTCATGCTGTCGGCCATCTTGCCATGGACGATCTTACTCATTGCCCACATCATCATGTTGTCATGTATTTTTGCGGCAGAGTTGGTGATAGACGGTGCAATCGTCCTCAGCAGATGGAACAAACGTGGCAAGCCAGATAAACGCAGCAGTTGATAGCTGGCTTGAGGGTCGTCAAGCGTTGCTAGGCGGAGTATCAATTCCGTCGGGTCACCACGGGCGATTTTGGAAACGAAATTCCTCTGGAACTCTTCTGTACCTACTGGAATCCCGACAACTGGCATGCTACCTTCAGCAACTGAAAGACCAATTTTCGTCAATTGTTGCTGTTCGTCGTTTGTCAAAGAGGACATGCAAAGACCTTCCGGGAAAAGCACTTTGGATTTCGGGAAACTGAGCTCAATCCCTTTTTGGGAGAGACGTTCCTGAAACCAATTCGTTACAGTGGATATGGCCTGCATGTTCCTAGCCAAACCTGGTGGAAGATGTGCTTGGAGTGTGCGCGCGGGGGGATGAACCGGCACTATTGAGGGTGACAGTGGCGCCCAATCGGCACTATACCGGGCACCTGGCACTATTCAACCGGCACTATAAAGGTCCCTCGACTGTACATGGTACAGCTGACATTACGGCGTATGATTGACGGTTAGAATCCGTGGTCGGCAGGGCTCACGCGCTCACGCACCGCCATGCACGTACATCCGTACATGCGTGTGACAGAGTCCATCTACACCTGTGATGATGCGCTCAACATGCGCGTACATCACCTTCTTCAGCGTTCAAGATCCGGGAGAACAATAACCCTCATCATACTGGCACGGAGACTCGTGGTCGCACAACAGCATCACCGTTAAAAGTAGAGGGACAAAAGGCCCTAGGTATATTTTGCCCATCCGGGTCGTCATCGGCGTGTTCTGGCGTTGCGCACGCCCCACTTTCATCCGAGGTGCAAAACATGCCCATGCATTGTGTGTTCAAAAAACAAAAAAATTAAGAAAAAAAACAAAAAACAAACGCTGCTGCTGATGCTGGTGCTGCCTCTGGGAGAGGGCCCCTCGATGGCGGGTGAGATTATGATCCGCATTTTTGGCGAGTGATCTGCGTACACGAGACCATTTTCCAAACGGGTTTCTTCCTAAGAGAGCCTGAGACATGTACTGACGGCACACGCGACGGCAAGAAGTGCCCTGACTCCAGCGAGACACACCCGCCTGCGACGTGCGGGGTAGTCGGATTTTCGCTCGCACCTACCCCGGGGGTCTTGCCATCACGAGGTCATGACAGAAGGACTCACAGGACTCACCGTGAATCAATCCCGCGCTGTCCTGGCAAATAACCTCCCCTGTGATGGTATGGTCCTGCCCTGCGAGTACGACAGCGGGCTCCACCCCGGTTGTCGTATGCGAGCGTGATGAAAGTGGGGCACAAGGTGGGGCGCAAGGTGGGGCGGAAAAGGGGGTGATGTTTTACTGGAAGCGCCTGGAAAAAAAAAAGGAAAAAAAAGGAGAAAGTTCCAGGCCTTCTTCCCCTTCTCTCGGGGCAAAGAATATGACTCTTTATATTACCTTGGTAACATAGAGAGTCATATTCTTTGTCTCGGGGCTCTCCCTCCGGGAAACTGTAGATATCTCGACGACCACGACGTCGATTCAAAAGCGAATTTCTGCAGTAGATGGGCAGAAAGCAGGAGGACAACTTTCGAGCTGTCGTCACATGAATAACTGTCCCTTTGTCCCCTGTCGATGCTGTATTTGTGGCAATGCGTCAGTGCCTACTACGCAGCAGCACCAGACTCTTTCATCTGCCGCCATGCACCATATCAGCAAGTACACCACCCCTCGAAAAAGCAAGGAAGGCCGGCAGTATACAAGAGCAACAGCAACAGCGGTGATTGTAGCAGCAAACATGAAGCGTGAGGCGATGCTGCCGTGAGATCGATGAGATCCGCACTTTCTTGTGTGGTGTAAAAAGGTACCATGTCGTCGCCGCCCGTGCATAATAATTCCTAACGGCGTAAAAGGGAGAGTCTCGCTCGCTGTTACTCTACGCAGTCATCATGCCGCACCACGCCAACATACACAACAACAGCAGGAACAATAGTAGAGTACGAGTCGTGCTGTAGTCTATAGATGTGTAATGCTACAGATCCGCGCTTGTGATGCGTGCAATTAGATGAAGATCCCTTGCCGTCCTGCTGCGGTACATGTCGACGAAATCCCAACGAACGGCAAAGGGAAAGCGCATCTCTTTCTATCTGCGCAGCAGTCGTTCCACACCAGCCACGTCAACAAGAACCACCACCAACAGCAGGCATGTATAAATGATGAGTGATGCACAGCAGTGCTACTGCACCAGCATGCTATGCATAGCCTCTCTTGTTGCATTGCGTCGGGTTAGCGTCTGGTTGGTCACCATGAAAAAAAAAGCTGCGCTGCGGGCCTTTTCGCCGCCTTTTCAAACGTGTCACACTACCGACAGCAGCCAAGTTCCTACTCTATTTCTCAGTACAAAATATTTGTGTCACGCTACCGACGGGAGGCTCGGACAATAAAAAATCGCCTCGAATAGGGGTCCTAACCTAAGTTGTCCCCGGGATGCTCCAGTTGTTGTTGTTGTTGTTGACTTCACATTAAACCGTATGTTGTTGTTGTTGTTGTTGTTGTTGTTGT